CTTTGTGAGATTTCTTTTAATTTTACAAATGATTTTGCGGAGAATTATTTCTCCTTGTCGACCAATATACGGTACATTTACCCATATGTTATGCATATTATCATCATTCGGCTATGTAAGTCATAATACTTAAATACAGTATGTTTAATTGAAATATAATTACGAAACCAAGCGTTACATGAGACATTTGAACTGTTTCTACAGATTTTGATGCAGTAATCTAAACCTACATTGTATAGCTTTATATTAAAAGATTAAATGGTTGCGAGATACCAGTCTATTAATTATCACTACATTAGAAATAGACAAATATATACCAAGCTTTGGTTTCTCATACAGACCACAAAATGATTAGAAAGGCCTTTTAACGCTATCGCTATTTAAAATATAGACGAAACACTACATACACAAAACATTTGATCTTTTGATGAGCATCGGCTGTTGAAGTTTGTAGTCATTATAAGAACATTTATTATAAAAAGTAACATCCCTCAATAATAACTACCCTAGCAACAGTAATCTGAGAAATGTATATAGTTGTCTCAGCACGAACTGTTTATGTTACCATGTATGCATGATTCTAATATCCTAACGAAATTTTTAGTATTGACATTATAACAGATCTTTTTGAACCACGAAAACCTTTCAAACTGTATTTCAAACAAATCTTAAAAATTAAATAAAATGTCTGTCAAGAAAAATAAAACATTTAAACCAATAATCCTATATATAACAATGAAAAAATCGTTTTTAGCCTAGATATTCCAATCAGGGAATTGTATTTTGGAAAAGGGCTCGCTGTTCCATACTTAGATGCTTACGAGGAGCCATGTCCTTCTATAAGATCGTGAACACTATTGCTTGAGTCTGAATTGAGGTATGAATCATATCCAGTCCAGTGAAAGAAGCGGTACCTCGGCCAGAGAGCTTTTGTCATGTGTGGTGTGAAATGTATGACAACAATTTTCCCCTCAAGAGCCTGGCTTTAAGGATGAATTCTAAATGTCGCTGCTTGACTGCGATGTCATGGAAGCCCGAAGGAAAATGAAGAGTAGGACGCCCTAGAACAACTTGGAGGCGAACGGTCGAGAAGGAGCAAACAGTGCTGGGATGGAGATCTTGGAATGAAGCAAAACCGATGGGCAGAAACAGAACTGGAGGGCACATCTTGCAGCCTTATGGGACACTTGGCCAGAATTATCTAATAGTAGGGCCGTGTATCTAATATAATGTTGAAAAAAGTTAGTGTTATGGGTGGGTAGGTATGTGAATATGACTTCTAGATCAAGTGGGGTAATTGTGAATAGAATAATTGGAAATAAAAATAGGCCTATTTGATACATAGCAACAGATATAGTATCAATATTTCTTTCATGAAACATGTCAGATGGGACGCATTTGGTAAGTCTTTCAACGTAATTTCAGTCCGCCTTTGATCATTTGTATGTAAGTCTAGCCACATATGTATGGTAAAAAATGTTAAAGTTGCATTTGAATTCGGGTGCTAAATGATCACCACGAAACAGTTTAGGGATGACATTTTGACTTTCGAAACCGAGAAGGGTTCGATACCCAAACGTGGTCAAGTGTGTGTCAGCGCCAGTATACTTGGTGTAAGTAGCCTGTCAACAAGTTGAAAACACACAATGCATTCTGATTTATATATTTGATGGATTAAATTTGATGGGTTACTAAGACCAGTGTTTGACATTGAATTTAAGGACGCTCCGACGTGCAGCATGAGCAAGATTGATATATTGTACGGTATATAAGAAACATATGAGGCCCCAATATAGAGACCTGTTGAACTCCGCAGGTAAATATTCTTTATTCCATTTATTACGGTTACCTGTTCCAAAAAGTGGAAAGATTATCAAGACCTAGTAATTAAAGTTTATTTAGCAATAAGGGGTAGACAACGATATCTGGTGGTCAAGCTAAATCATACCTAATCAATTACCTTTATAATTCTCCTGTCTAATGTAATCAGAAAGATGAATCAGGTATTCAATTCAATTTATTCATCTTCAAAGAAAAGTTAAAATAGCAATAAAATACATAATATAATTTTTAAAAAAAAGATGAAATGGACAACCATAAAAGGCTCAAAGAGCTTGTAAAAATGGTGCCCGGTAGTTTAAAAAGTTAAGTAAATTATGTTAAAAATTAAAAAGCATTCAATAAAATAATTAAAATATTTCAGATTAGGATAAAATACGATCAGATATATACAATTCAAAATAAAAAATTAAAAGGAAGAGATACCAACGTGTTCTCGACAGGGCAAGGCAATATTATTGTGAACTATACAAATGAATAATGAAAGCATATAAAAAGGAAAATCGGAAGTGTGTTTTAAATATAACCACTGAGTAAATTTATTTTATACAATTGTTTGAAAACCTGAATTGAACACGCAGATTTTAAGTCATTATTAATGTTGTTCCAGATACGAGGCCCTGAAACAGCAACACTGTGACTCGTGCATGTAAGTCTACGAAATGGGGGCCTAAGTTTATCTTTGCTTCTAGTATTGTAAGTGTGGACATTACCATCAGAGAAGTTTCTAGGATTTAAAAGACGTAAGTCAGGATTGTTCATCATTCGGTACATGAAAACACCGATTTGTTAAGTAGATTTTAAGAAGATTCTGTCTGTGGAAGAGGGGGCCGGTTGGTGCGCGATATTCAGACCACGTAATGACACGTATTTCTTCTTTTTTTTTAAGTTTGATTAATCTATCGATATAATCAGGAAAAATATTAAACCAAATAATGTTACAATAGCTAATAAGAGGTTCCACAAGCGATCTATAAATCCAGAGAAGTAACTTAAGAGGAAGATAGTGGCGAAGTTTATAAAATAGACTAACATATTTAGATAATTTGGTAGCTGTTAAGTTAAAATGCGATTTAAATGAAACAAATTCATCAATATCAACTCCTAGAAACTTCGAGACAGTTGCTCTGATTATGGGTTTATTAGCAATTTTAATATAAATATTATCAACGTTGAGAGAGCTATTTTTAGTTCTAAAAAACTATAAAGTTAGTCTTTTCAACATTCAAAGAAAGTTTATTGCACTTCAGCCACGTGTCAACTTTGGTAAGCTCGTAATTTAAAACGTTGATAAGAGTATTAATATCAGGGTTGGATAAAAACAAATTTGTGTCATCCGCGAATAAAATCATGCTTAAAATTCTAGAAGAATTAAAAATATCATTAATATACAGAATAAAAAGAAGTGGTCCGAGTATTGAACCTTGAGGTACACTATACTTGATTGGTTTAGGTTCATACGATACGTTATTAATAGCAGTATATTGCCATCTTCCACAGACATAATTTTTAAACCAGGCAAGTGTTGTACCCCTGATACCATAGTGTTCAAGTTTAGACAACAGAATAGAATGATCTATTGTATCGAAAGCCTTACTTAGGTCAATAAATATTGCAATAGCAACGTCCCCACTGTCAATAGCGTCGTATGTCCTTTCAATTAAATTTAGAACCGCCATAAATGTGGAACTCTTTTTTGGAATCCATATTGCTTCTTATTAATAATTTCATATTTCTCTAGAAAATAATAAAGACGATCATACACGATACGTTCCAGAATTTTTGATATGGCTGGGAGAATGGATATAGGACGATAACTATTACAATCATTCTTATCGCCAGTTTTAAATAGAGGAAATAACCTGGCTATTTTAGTGAATTGTGGAACAACACCACTTTCGAGAGATAGGTTAAAAATATGACAGAGTGGAGAGGCTAAAATTGGAATAATATTTTAAAGTATTTTACTACTTATTTTATCAATGTGTTCGGAGTTTAATGATTTCATTTTGTTATTAATACCAATAATTTCATTTTCATCGGTAGAAGTAAAATATAAGGAATTGGGATAATTTCAATTTAAATACTTAAAATTTGTATCAGAAGGCATTACAATCTTATTAGCAAGATTTTCACCAACTTCGCTAAAATGTGTGTTAAAGGTATCAGCTATATTACTTTGATTGAAACTATTGCTATCAGGGGACACAGCACCAGCTTTTCCCCTGCCGAGAACCTCATTGATAACTTTCCAGGTCTGCTTTGAATCATGGTAAGAATTGAAATAATAATCACGTTTACTAATTCTAATGACATGAGTTAATTTATTTCTGTATTGCTGTAATTTTAAGGAGTTTGAGGGTACTTTTAAATATTTTTTGTACAATAAATTCTTTTTATTAATTTATTTAAGAATGCCTTCTTTATTTGTTTTTTTTTTCCTTTTAATGTTTTTGATGGAATTGTTTGACTAGCAAGTTATAAGCAATATTGGGATCCGAGTTGTTGTAAATGAAATCCCAGTTAATGTCTGTAAGTTCGTTAGTAAGTGCGTTTAATGTAGTTTGATTAATAATTTTAATTGTTAATTGCATGTTTTCATGTGAAGATAACTAATGTTTAGAAATTAAATAAATAGGGTAATGACCTGTAATACTTGATGGGATGATACCTGATTGAAATGGTCGAAGATGTATATCAGTATTATTAGTAAAAATGTTATCTATCAGTGTTGCAGTGGATAATGTGACACGATTTGGACTGTTTATTAGTGGTATGAATGCTGCTGAATTAAAAATACGCATCAGTTGAGTATACGTAAACCAGATTGCAATTCACATACTCTATCAGCTTAATGATCAAGTAATTATTTAGTTGGTTAAGGTTTTTAAAGACTGCTTTTTCAACAACTGTATATAGTACATTTAAACTTGACACGGACACAGGTCTATAATTACCAGGTTCCGTTTTACTGATATTGTTTATGAATCTGTAAAATATGTTCCACTTATAAAATAAATAGAGTAGGCTTACATTGTATTTTCCAAAGCAACCAAAATTTCCAAAAGAAGAGGGCGCTTTTTAAACTAAGACTGCAAGAGTCCCAGTTTCTGACAACAAAAGAATAAATGTACTATTATATCTTTGTCAACATTAAATGACCGCAATAATCTAGTGGAAAAAAGAACCTTTGTTATTGGAACGGTATCTACTCTTAATGAAATGGGAGAGCCCAGCAAAAAATTACATATCCAAAGAGGTATGTAAAAGGGTAAAATTTCAGATTTAATTTAGGATCTAACTACTCGAGCTGGTACAGTATACTCTATTTAGGACATCTAATGGCTACATCACATAACCAAGAACGTAACAATTTACTGGTAAGTAGCAATACTTTACACATGAATTGTTTACTGTGCAATACCTTCAGAAAAAAAATTATACTAGTTGTCAGATTCATTAGAATATAGCCCTATCTTAGCCCCATGGCTCAGTAAGGAAATTATGTGTTTCTCAGTTAATTATTTAGCATCTGTATATGAAATGATATTAAACTTGTTTTAAATGTCTTCATTAACATGTTCAGTAATACTATATTAATAGTTGTTCTAACTAACTATAGCGTTGTAGAAGCGGTTGGCGCACCCGTTGTTGATTTGACTCCTAACCTTGAGGTCAGGGGTGCAAGTCGCTTGTTTCTTTGGGAATGACACTTTCTTTACGTTTGTCTGTACTACCCAGGAGTATAAATGGGTACCTGGTAGGATGTTGGGGCATTGATTGTACTAGTTTCGTGCTCTGAGCATAGGTATACTCCCCAGGGAGCAGAGAAGGTTGCACTTGGCGCTGGTTTGCCGTTGAATGTTATCCAGTGACCCGTAGTAATAATGCTCAGCACTTTTGATCATTATTTTAAATTGGCATTTTATAAATATGCATTATTATTGTATCAACCTTTAGCTTTTTGACGTCTCGCCACTCTATGTATGGGTGAAATAAAGATTGATTGGTTGATTGATTGATTAATTGATTGATCATTATAATCCTTATCGTAATTATTATGTTAGTTATCCTGACGAATGCATGCTTTTACAACAGCGGTAAACTTCCGTAAATCAAAAATTGAATTTACAAATTATTAAAAGACAAAATACCAAATAAGCATTGTCACCACTAAAATACAATATTATATTTTTCTTCCCGAATAACTCTAAATATTTACCCCCCCCCCCCAACCCTTCTTTACTATGTACCATATATACAGAGACATTCAATGACGAGGGGTGCAATAAATTTACTTCTAAATCAAAACAGTGTTCACCATTTGTTCTATACGTTTCACGGAACTTTTCAAAAATACCGTATCGTAAGTGTCTCTGCATAAATGATGATCAACACAAAGCATATAGCATTCGTAGTCATCTTTGGCTTTATCAAATAAAATTAGTTATGTAATTAACTTCCACGTTTTAAAATTGTGTCAATCTATAATCTGTAATTTTAACAGTGTTTATTTTTCTTTATTATTATTTATGAATCCTGCATGAAGCCATTTAATTTAGTAATAGCATATTTTGACTGAAGTTTGAGCTTTAAAAAAGCAATCCCATAAAAACTCAGCTTTACCAAAAATGGGAATTTCGAATTGGTTTGAAGATGTAATAGTTTTCTATACATTTTCTTTAATTATGGTTTCTTAAGACAAATGATTAACTCATTAATAAATAATAAATTTACCAGTCCGTTGAAAATATCATAATATCAGTTAAATAAAATAAACATGTGTATTTTTAATATTTAAACCGCAAACATGAAAACTCGGTTTAACTCTATAGCGGTATTATAACATAATTAGCAATTATTCTCCTGCAATGTATACTTTAAAAACGTGACATAAACTGGTAGTTGCTGTGTGTGCTTTGTACGTGGAAATCCTTTGGTACTCTGTTATATTCCATTCACTACTGCTTGTGTTTAAGCTGTGAAGCGCATCTTCTTAATAATAATAATTATTATAATAAAAACTAATAATAATATTAATAATAATGATAATAATAATAATGATAATAATAATAATAATAATAATGATAATAATGATAATAATAATAATAATAATAATAATAATAATAATAATAATAATAATAATAATAATAATAATAATAATAATTTAGATTTGTACAGCGCCGGTATCCATCAAACAAAATGCTAATGTGGAAGGTACCCATCTTTTAAAAAGTGGACCTATTTCATGCGTATAAACTGAATAATGTGGACAACTTTAAGAATTGGAACTCCTTTTATACAAATACACATCAAATATAATAATATGTGGACCCATTTAAAACAGATTAAGTTAAATCAATTTTACGCATAAATTCTAACTAATATGGACACATCTTTCGTAATTTTAAGTTTATATGAATGTTTTATAAAAAAAATTGTCTGGTATTTTCTTAATTATTTTTTATAATTGCCATTTTCAATGTGACTTTTTGATGGGAGAGCCTCTCGGTAGTAATTAAGTTTACTTTTAGGTAATCCTCAGGCTTGTTTTGTATATAATTCGTATATTTGTATGTTGCTTGGAAATATTTAATGGACTGAAATAATGGCTGGCTACGGCATTGCCACCACGATTGTGAAACCAGGCAGCTCATTGTAGAGCCAGTTTGAATATTGTACAACGACTTCCATTGAAAATTAAACAATAGAGGTCACGCATAGCAAATAACCTGATTTATATTTGTAGAATATTTTCAAAAGAATTGTTGAATCGTTTAAGCTATTAAAGTGAAATTTAATAGCTTGGTGGTTAAGATGCTTCAAATCGCGGGATCAATTCTTGTATGTGTGTGTGTGTGGGTGCGCGCGCGCGCGCGCGCGTGTGTGTGTGTGTGTGTCTGTGTGTGTGTGTGTGTGTGAATAATTATGTTTGTCTTGTGAAAGTAGTTCTGTTCAGACGGCCTTCCGTCTGAATTAAAGTTACGACAAACGCAATACTTTACGCGCGCGATTAAATAAAATGAAGGATTAAGCATTGTATCCCCTCCCCCTCAAACTTCCCCTGAGAACCCTACAAGGGATTTTATTCCAGGGCCACGACCGAGGTTCTAGTCGGCCCTTTGATTCAGGCTCCCTGTCGTCAAATTTCTGGAGCCACCACTGCAGTGCCATGGCACGTGTATATAATTGTAGATGATCAGTAATTTATTTATTTCCTTTAGATCTACTTATTATTAGGAGCTGATTTCATTCTTTATCATCATTTCGATCGTATTTAATACAAGTTGGGAATTGGTTTTAAGAAGAGGCTTGCTCGAAATACTAGTGTGTAGAAAAGGATATACGCCGAATTTCCGAAACCCAGTTTCTCAAAGGTCAATTAAAAGCAGTGAAACATGAACAACAGCATAAAATAGCGGCTTATTGTAGTTATGATTCTTTTTTATTCATTCTCTAAATCAAACTTTACTAACAATTCGGCTATTAGCAAAAAAAATTGAATTAAATAGGTCCATAAAATAAAATGTCTTATAAGCATATTTATAATATATACATAAAGTTTAACTAAGATATCCCCTGTCGTCGCACTTTACTTGCTTGCGCTACCTCGACAAAAAAAATATGAATGCTATATAAGTTTTTGTCTTGGCCAGACTACCTGGTACAAAACCGTTTACCAAGCTGGATTAACCATAAAGCTCGATTTACCATCAATCGCTCAGCCTATTGGCGACAGTCGCCGGGGGATTCGGGAAGTTTGAACCTGGTTCAACTTTGCCGATTGCGTTTCAGACGAATCACGGTGCATTGCTAGCTACCTGCAGTGGCGGCGTTACGGCAGGGACGTAGCCAGGATTTTGAAAGGGGGGAGCCGTTATGCGAATTACGTATGACCCCGGCGGGGTCCAGGGGCGAATTTCCCTGTGAAGTAGCGCACTCTGAACGTTCTTATGACTGTTTTGAAAGGATAAAGTGAAAATTTCAATATAAATTACATTATAAATCCCAACAATAATTATATAATAAATCAACAACCAGATCCAGGAATTCGAAAGAGAGGTGAACCAGAGAGGGACTTTCACAGACCGAGGAACCACCCACCTCAGCCCCACCATGGTTGGGGCTGAGGTTTAAAAAGTTATGACTAGGGCATCTCCCGAAATTACACTCTCACACTTAAATTTGAATATATTTTTCTTTTTTTTCCTTAAAAAATGAAGGGAGGGGAGGGGGTGGCGGGCTTTCAAACCACCTCTGCTCAAAACATTCTTTATCCAGAATAGTTATAATCACGAAAAATTGACATGAGAAACAAAATCACATCATAAAAACAAATGTACGTCACTAAGACATACATCAGGAGCCTACCCGATAGAGTTTAATGTCATACCCAGGGAAGGGCACAGATCTGTTTTGAAAGGTGGCGGGGGAGGACATTTTGTGAGTCAACACCCACCTCAGACCCACCATAGTTCTAGTTGAGGTGAGAAAATTTGAGGAAATAGTTACCCAGTGGCCACTGCCAAACATTTATAGTGGTGGGGTGTACCCACCAAACGTCTCCTATAGATGGCCAGAAATGACACTTTTTGCAAAATTCATCATCATCATATCACCGTACCATTAGTCAAAGTAAAGCGCCAAAAAAAAAAAAAAAAAAAAAAATTCTCATGATCTTTTAACAGGGATTTTTGACAACCATAGAGATCTTATTATTGTGTGTGTGATATACCATAGAAAACAATGCTTAAGAACATTGTCTTTGAGTATTTGCTTTACATAGGCCTACATCAAAAACGTGATTTCACCTCAGCCCCAACATGGTTGGGGCTGAGGTGAGAAAATTTGAGGAAATAGTGTAACCTATAGGTGGCCGGAAATGACACTTTTATGTAGTAAAATTCATCATAACATCACCATTATATAGTCAAAACGAAACGCCAACAAATTTCTCATGATCTTTTATCAGGGAACTATAGACTTAATATCCAAGACAACTTAGGCCTAACTATCTTACTAAGCTTTAATTATGCTATATTAATTATGATCAACAAATCACAACTTTTTTTCGCATTTAGCACAGTTTTCTTCACTTTTTATTGTTATTAATATTATTATCAATTATTACTATCGTCATCATTATCATCATGATGATGATCATCATCATTGTTGTTATTATTTTTATTATTAGTATTAGTATTATTAAACAAAACTTGCAAAAGTATAAAAACGAAACTGAACCATACAGTATCGCATTTCTATATCTTAAAAGACCAGGCCTGAGATTTATGGATTTAAGATTTTTAAATCACGCTTAGGCCTATGTGTTCTATTAGGCCTATGTATAATGTGTACTGATGCATATTTACATGTTTTA